GGCCCACAGTGCTTTTTATAACTTAGTCTTAGAAGTCCCACGCTGTTTCTTCCTCCACGTGCTGTGTGTTAGAAGCAAGTCACTAAGTCCAGTTGACACTTAAGGGGAGAGGAATAAGTCTCTACCTCTTGAAGGAAGGAGTATTAAAGAGTGTGTACACAAGGGTTAAATACGACTCCTGTATGGAAAATCCTTTTGAAGAATGTCTCAGTAAGCACAAGAGAATGAAAGTGTTCTTGGAGCTAATGATTAAGAAAGGGTGTTTTAGTGTCATCCTAGAAATTTTAAATTGTCCTAAATTACAGCTACATGAAGTAGAAAAGATTGGGTTACATGTGTGTTGAGCCCAGGGCATTACCAGATACTGGTTTCAGATGGGATTACTGATAATAGCTTTAGTGTTGTCACGTCTTTCTCCTAAAAGTGGGGACAGCTGAATGCTCGCTCATTAGGGATTTTTGTTAGACAGATCCTGATTATGTGAGGTTTTATCAAGCAACCTCAAATTAATAGACCCATAACTGGTTTTAATTTGTTTAAAATGACAAACATATGCTTGATCATGGTGAAAAATTCAAACTATGGAATCAGATCGTTAGGAGATACTGCCTTTTGTAAAGCCAAACTGATGAAAACTGGCTGTCGCCAGGGTCACTTAAACCGCTGAAGCGTTAAGGACTGGAGAAGGTGGCCCTCGCCCACTGCCCTGCACTGCTCTGAGGCTATAAAATGGGCTCATGCCAGTCAGTGCCACTTGGTAGAGTCTGTCTCTTGCAGAAATTTCTGTTAACCTCCTTGCCACAGACTGTAGCAATGTATGTAATTAACGTGACTTAGGTTGTTTCCTTTGCTCATTTCAAAGGACCATAACCCACCAAATGCTTGGCTCGCTTCTGCAGAACTGACAGGAAGCTCTTCTTTCACAACATTCCCAACAGAAAGATAGATTTCTTAACTGTGAAGACCTGAATGAGGAAGTCAGGCTCTTGGTTTACAGTCACAACTTAGTTGTAGTCAGAATTTTTCATTGGCTTTTTTGTCTGGGAAGAAAAACAAAAATTCTCACCAGGTGGGTGTGAAGGGGAAATTTGATTTGGTATTGATGTTTTTATGTTGGTCATGAAGTGGAAACCATGATTACATTATGCCTTACCTCCTAACGTGTGGTCTTATTTGTGTTTAGTGACAAAACAGAAATGTAGGGGATCCTCAGCTGCTTTTTGAAAATTCCCTCAGTGTGGTCTTTCAAGTTTTTAGATAGATGGCATGATTATTTTTTATTATGTAAACTTCTGAGTATTCACACATATGTTGTTCTCGATCTCATCAGAGGCCATGACAATGGGCAAACTGCACAAAGAAATTGGTCAGCTAATTGTTCAGTCTGCAGAAGATCCAGAGAAATCAGACAGCCAGGTTATACAGGTAACTAATCTTCTGGATTGCTGAGAGTCCCGAAACGCCATCTCTGGGTGGTGTACGGCCCAGCTGTGCACCTTAACAGAGTGGGGGGGGGGAGGCCAGCAGGCGGGTGCACAGATGAGGGCTTGCAGGTGGCCACAGCGATGACAGACCAGCTGGTGTGGGTTGCCCTGGCCCAGTCAAGCTCCAGGGCAGGTATGCGCAGGGGCTGGCACTGAAGCCAACCACTAACAGTGGGATATGTAACTGCCCAGAGGTCTGGAATGCTTTTCTGGGCCAGCGAGTGCATCCTCTCCACCTAGAATTTTCACGGAGGAACAAATTGTAAGAAGGTTGCTGCGGAGCACAGGGAGCTAAATAGATTGTTGGAATTTAGCTTTGTTGTGTTATCTCCAGGACAACAGAAATCATGTCATCAGGCCCTGGCCCATATAGCAGGCTCTGCAATGACACACTGCAGACTGGCTCCTATGTGGGGTCCACCTGTCAGGCTGACCAGAGAGTCTGTGTAGACCAGTTGGTGCTGCCACCTCTGCCCTTGCCAGACTGGGATGGCAAATAGGTTTCATTTCCTAGGCCCCTCACATGGTGACGACAGCTTACCCAGCCTCCCCTCTCCTATCTGTTGCCCCTCGGCATTTGCCCAGTTCCCAGCTCTTTGCTCCTCTCCTGAGGGATGCGCTTCCAGCCTCACCTCTCCCAGGTCCTGCCTCGTCTAGACCTCTGTCTCATACCCTGGGGCCTGGAAGGACTGTCTGCCCCATCTGCACCTGTGCCACCTGGGGCCCTTTGATAAGCAGGCTCTACTCACCTGGTCTAACCGGTGCATTTATTTTATGCAGTGTTCACTGAGCTCTGACCACATGTCAGGCATCGCGCTGGGCAGGGGGATGCAATGGGAGCAAAGTCCCTGCCCTCTCGGAGCCTGTGCTTTAGTGCAGTAGATGAACAGCAATAATAAACGACATGATAATTATGAACTGTGGTAAATGCTGTGGCAGGAACAAGGGGCTGAGGTTGAGAATACTGGGGAGTGGGTGAGACGGCTCTACGAGGAGAGAGAGGACATGTCAGTGCTGGTGGCCTGGCCTGCCATGTGTAGAAAGTAGATGGGTCTTGCCCTAAGGACCTGAACAATGAGACTCTGAAGATGCTTCTTTCCTGCCATGTGACTCGTCACTGCCCGCCCGTCCCCCCATCATTACAGTAAAAACATTTATTCTGGCTGGGCATGGTGGCTCACGGCTGTAATCCCAACACTTCGGGAGGCCAAGGCAGGAGGATCACTTGAGGCCAGGAGTTCAAGACCAACTTGGGCAACACGGTGAGACCCCATCTCTACAAAAAATTCAAAAATTAGCTGGGCATTGTGGTGTGTACCTGTAGTCCCAGCTACTTGGGAGGCTGAGGTAGGAGGATTGCTTGAGCCCGGGAGTAGAACGTTGCAGTGAGCTATGCTTGTGCCACAGCACTCTAGCCAGGGTGACAGCATGAGACCCTGTCTCTAGGAAAAAAAAAAAAAAAAAACACTTACAATATAGGTAAAATATATTGGGTTTTGAATCATTATGTTTTTCATGGACTAAAAGTACATGACTGAGTATATTGTATATAGATGACTAAGTATATTATATGAGACCTTGGAGAGGGCAAGTAAAAGTCCTCAGTATGTTATAGGGGTTCAAAAGTATCTGAATGAATGATGTCAGCAAATCAGGAAAAAACCATGATTTTAATGTGAGCTTTAGTGAGTCCTCAGGTGCCCAAAAAGAATAAAACCTTTGTTCCAGGTGCTGGGTTAAGTTATTCTAGGCAGAAGAGGACTTTTGGGAAGAGAATTCAAAAAACAATAGCAGGGTTTCTCAAAAAGTTAAAACATAGAATTATTACCCTATGAATCAGCAATTCTGTGTCTGGGTCTATAACCAAAAGAATTGGGAGCAGGGACTCAAACAGATAATTGTGTTGCTTACTGACAGGGACACTTTTGAGAAATGTGTCATTAGATAATTTTGTTGTGCAAACTCATAGAGTGTACTTACACAAGCCTAGAGCATATAGCCTACTATGCACCTAGGCTATATGGTGTAGCCTATTGCTCCCAGGCTACAAACCTAGCCAGCATATGACTGTACTGAATCCTGTAGGCAAATGGAACATAGTATTTGTGTATCTGAACATACCTAAAACGCAGAAAAGGTACAAAAATGCAATATCATAATCTTATGGCATCACCCCGTGAATATGCAGGCTGTCATTATACAAAATGTCATTATGCAGCACATGACTATACTTGTGTGGAAATGCTCATGGCAGCATTATCCATAATAGCCAGAAAGTAGAAGCCACCCAAGTGTCCTTCAACAGATAAATGGGTAAGCGAAATGTGGTCTATCCATACAATGGGATATTGTTCAGCCTTAAAAAGTAATGAATATCTGATACATGCTACAACTTGGATGAACCTAGAAAACATATTAATGAAAGAAGCCAGACACAAAAGGACAAATGTTGTATGATTCCACTTACATGAAGTACCTAGAGTAGGCAGATTCACAGAGGTAGAAAGTAGAATAGAGGTTACCAGGGGCTAAGGGAGGGGGAATGGGAACCTATTGTTTAATGGGCATAGAGTTTACGTTTGGGATGGTGAAAAAGTTCTGGACATAGTGGTGATGGTTGCAAACCACTGAATTATACACTTAAAAATGGTTAACGTGGTAAAAAAAAAAAATCTGTGACATTGATTTTTTTCAAGTTTGTTTCTTTTTTTATAAAGTTAGTCTAAACAACTTAAAAATAGCAGGAAGAATTCGAGAGAATAACTATTCAAATTTTTGGATACTAACATGTTGCATATTTTCCTTTTCAATTAAAGGACATTGCCCTAAAAACCAGAGAAATCTTCACCAACCTAGCACCATTTTCAGAAGTTTCAGATGATGGAGAAAAGCGAGTCCTCAATTTGGAGGCGCTAAAGCAGAAACGATTTCCACCAGCAACGGAAAACTTCCTTTACCATCTAGCAGCAGCTGAACAGATGCTGAAAATCTGACTCTGACAGATGTCTCACTGATGACTGATAGAAAACTTTCACTCTGATTATGCATTAACTATGTAAAATACTGAAAATAACAGAGAAAATGTTATATTTTTAATGATTTATTTGAAAGTATTGAGATTTGACCTTAAAAACACTGAAGCACATGAAAACACTTCTGATTTTTCTCCTAGCTGATTAGTCTCCTGCCCACTGTCAGTGTTGGACAAAGTGCTGTAACTACTATATATAACATTATAAAATGGCCCGATGTCCTGGAGTAAGAGAAAAAAAGCTGTCAAGTTCCTGTGCAAATCACAAGGAATGCAAAAGCCTTCATTATTTTAAGTTCCAGCCTGTCTCATAGTGTAGCCATAAACTAACGGTTTACTTTCAGAAAGCTGCCTGAAATTTTGCTTTCTATTCTTCCAGGAAGAACTTTAATTCCAACTGAGGAACTCTACTTTCTGAGCCAAACTACTAAAGTTTTCTGCAGAACTGTCTAGAAGATCATTCAAAAGACCCTGCAGTTGCACTTTCATGTAAAAGAAGCAACTTTTTTCCTGGCCTTTGAACATTTTGCCTATATTGTGCATATTTTATACTTGAGTAGACAACTTTAATAATCCATATTTATACTGTTGCAGAAGCATTTGGCAAACTTAAGCCATTAGTACTCTTTAGTTAATCCAGTTGCTAACAATATTCTTTTGAAAAAAATGCCAGTCCTTATAAGGTAAAATAAGCAGCCCATTTTGAATAGAAACGTCTGTAGGACTAAAGCAGTGACTTTATGTAGTTGGTAAGGGAGCGTGAGAATTAACTTCTTACAGGGGCCAAAACCAGTGAATGTCTTCAAACAACTTCGGTGAAAGTATCATGGCCACAAATCAAGGTAACTGTTCTTTTTCAGTTATGTACCTTTTTCATAATTGGAGACCTTAAAATTGCCAAATAGGCATGGAGGTCTAAATTATGTACTCATTATTTTATTATGTGTATTCATGTTAATTATGAAAGATGATTTTTCACTCAGTACTGATGTCCTTAGAAATCTTACCTAGAAACATTTGTAAAAAATTTCTTTACTGGATCTTCCGTTTTTTCTTAGTATTAGACATTTGTTAAATAAAAATTAAAAGTAGCCTTTTCCCCCTCCCTCTTTTGGTAGGGAAAGGGAAAGACCTGAAATGAGATGATGTTTACTGAGGCAAGCAATTGAAAATTAAATCTGCACTTTATGAAAATGAATACTAACATCTTTTTCTTCCTCATTTTTTGTTACTATATAGAATAATGATCAAAGTTGTTAAAATTGCAAATTTATGATGCAGAAATAAAATGGAAATATTTTGATACCCAAAAAACTTTTAGGTAGGTGAAGAGCTGTGCCCATTTTCTCTAATTCTCCCCACTCAAAGCAAACAAAACAAACCTTTTCTTCAATGGTGAAGGCTCTAGAGAATTCGTCAAATACCTACTGAAAGTTGAAGCCACAATTTGGCTGTGCCCCTTCTCTTCTGTCCGAGCCTTCCTCCATCCCCCGCTTCCTGGAGAGGCCCTGTAACTTCAGTTTCCTGTCCTTGAAATACAACTTTACATTTATACGCTGTTATCTGTTAGTGGCTAAACCTCCATCTGGAGTCTTCGCCCATCTTTAATTTTGTTTGGTGTAAGCCTGTGGCCAGACTGAATCATCTGGCAGATAATTTTTATTGATGTTTTTCTTTTACGATGCTGTGAAACTTTTCTTACCAAATCTGGAAATAACCGTTGTTCTGGCCTAGAGAAAGCTAAAAGCCACAGATGTACTTTACGGTGATTTAGGGTAGGATGTGTTGGAAACATTCCTCTAGTACACAAATGTTTGGGTACCTGCTCTGTGCCATGCCCAGCGCTACTCTGATGGCAATACAGTCTCTGCTCTCGAGCACACAGTCTACTAGGGGAACAGGATCAGCAAACAGGCATCGCACTGAGATGTGGCCCGTATCGGGTCACCCAGTTCAGGTGTGAATCCTAGAAGGCCTCGTGGAGGGAGCAATCAACATCAAAGTCAGAGCTGAAGCATAAGCAGGCATTTGCCGGAGCAGAGGGATCAGCCTGCGTGCAGGCCCAGGGAAGAGACTCCAGCCTGTGTGAGGGACTGGGTGTCCGTCCAGAGTGAGGGAAGGGAGTGGCCAGAGGTGAGCGAGGGAAAGCTCCTGCCTGCCATAAGGAATCTGCACTTGATCTCCACACACTGGTAAGCCGTTTAAGGCTGTTCAGCAGGTGTGGTCTAGCAGAGCGGGCAGCCCGGACTGGAGGGAGCCGGCAGGAGACGGGCCGGGCAGCAGCAGCCGGGAACACTGCTGGGCTGCGCTGGAGCCGCAGCAGTGGACATGAAGAAGTGGCTTCTGAAGACCATGTTGGGCCCCATCTACTGAATGGGGTGCAGGGAGGGCTAGGTAAGGGTGCCACCAACGATCCTAACACAACTAGTGTGATTTCCTGAGATTGAGGGGGGAGAGCTGATCTCAAGTCTGAACAGGTTGAGTGTGAGGTGTCTGTGGGACATCCGAGTGGCACAGTGCAACGGGTAGCTCAGTGACCGGCCTGGGTCCCAGCAGTGTGGCAGCGCGGGGTTAGTGGGGCACAGATGGCATGGATGAGAGAAGTCTTAACAGATTGGGAGGCACAGCAGAGACCATGAGGGCAGACAACTCTTTTAAGAAGTCTGGCTATGAAGGGGGTTTGCTTTTTTAATGAGGCAGGTGACTCATTAACGTAGTTTACATGCTATTGGGAAGGAGCCCGCAGAGAGGCTGGAGCCAGAGGGACAGCTGACCTCGTGTGGAGGACAGGATGGGGACAAGGGAGGGCAGTTTGCAGATTTGGTGCCAGGAAGTTCCACCGCTGGCTGGCCGATAGCCCTGGTTTTCCCAGGGAAGGAGGAGGCAGGGTCCTTTGCCAGTGAAGGGAAAGACGCAGGGTGGAGGGCGGCAAAGATTTTAAGTAGTTGTCTAGAATTGGGTGAGCCCAGTAGGGAAACAGCATTGCTTTGGGGGTCGGAGGCCTTAAACAGCTCCCCACACGGATCGTGTTTATCCGAAGCCAGGCTAGCAACTTCATGCCTGTGTCCTGGGCATGGTGGACTCTTTGCCTTTATTTCTTCAAAGACTCAACTGGAGACCAGTTTATTAGTGATTTCATAGGCTGGTCCTCACCGCACCCGTGGCCTCAGCAGCCCTGTTGGGCTGCCAAGACAGGCCACCTTCCCACTGTCTTCTCCGGCCAGCCTCAAAGACACACCAGCCTGGAAACAGCCTCGGCACGTGCAATCCTGTCATCTTGTCAGCGCAGACACCTCCGGCGTCCCCAGGGGACCTTTGGCAGAGTCCTCCAAAACCTTGAAAGGTTTTCAAGCAAGAACAAATTCACCTAAAACTCACCCTACACCCCTCTGTTATAGAACAGTTCTGTTTCTTCTGTTGAAGACCGAATTTCCTCTTCAAGATTACTGCACTGTATCTGAAAAACAGTTAAATTCTTAATATTTACATTAATAATTTTTCTTGCCTTAGAAGCCAAGTTAAAAAGCAATTCATTTTCTGAAAGCAACCATTTCACAGTTATCTTTTTCAATGATGTTTAATCTATAGCAAAAAAAAACAAAACGTAACTTCTTAAAAACTTTTTAATGAAAAATTCAATTACAAACAAATGTAGAAAGAACGTAACGGACCCTCATCACTCAAAAGTAATTTAACAATCTGCAATCTTACTTCATCAAGCACTTCCCATACCCAGTAATGGGAGTTTTTTTCTTGAGTATTTTAAGGCAATTCTTAGATGTGTTATTTCACCTACAAATACTTCAATATGAAATTCTAAATGATAAAGATTTTGTTAACATTTATATAAGTAATACAGTTATGTAACTATGCCACTATCATACCTCACAAAATTAGCAACAATCCCCTAATATCATCTAGCACCCGCCACCTTTGCAGTCTAGCAGGGCTGTGGATGTACTAGCCGACGCTGTCATGGTCCTCGAGGTTCCAGACCTGAAGGGCGTGGCAGCCCCTGGTATGTTTGAGGGCATGCTCTGGGCGGAGCCCTGGCAGAACCCCTCTTGGCCTTGGGTTCTGCAAGTGGACTGGGCCACCTCAGCTGGGACCAGGAGGCGGGGCCCCCACCAGCCCAGGACCACCATTCAGACACCTCCATGCCCACCTTGGACCAACAGGGTATTTTCAAGGCCTAGCAAGTCTTGGTGTTTGGAGTTGTTATGGCGAGACTGACCCCATTTCCTGCCTCTACTCTGGCCTCTGGAAGTTGTGTCCCCTTCAAGCCTTGCCTGACTCACCCACTGCCTACCTCCTCGGCCTGGCAGCGCAAGCCCACGTGCCCTTTCAGCCGTCCCGCACCCTCCACTGGGAATGCCCTCTTCCCTCTCCCATCTCTGCCTGTTAAAACCCATCCATTTCTAAAGGCTACCTCCTCCACAAAGCCTTCCTGGGTCAGCTGGCAATTCCTTTTCTCTCATCTCCCCATAGCACTGCGGTCATGTTTACTCTGTCAGGTAACAGTTGTTTGCATGTATGACACACTACCATTCCCGCAAACGCCTGTGGCGGTCTCAGAGACTGCCACCCGCTCCCTGTATGTCTCTCTTCTTCCACAGCGGAACTTCAAACAGTTCCAGCGTAGACACCTCGCTTCCCAGCCTCCCCTGCAGCAAGGCTCGGCACAGGACCGAGTTCTAGCCAATGTAATGGAAGTGGTGCGTGGCCGTGTGGACTGTGGATGGCGCGTCTCGTGCCCTGAGGACGATGGCAGTGTGCTGAGCTGGAAGGAGCCAGGTCCCTGAGGACTCCATGACATAAAGACGCCTTACCTGGACCTCACACTTTATGGAAACAAGAAATCAACTTCTACCTTGTTCAAGGCACTTGTGCTTCGAGCTCAGTTACGACCAGATGTAACCCTAGCTAACACAGAGCCCTTCCTTCTTGGGTTCTCTTCCTGGCTGTTGGCATCACCCTGAGCCAGAAACCTGGGAGCCCCGACCCCGTCCTCTGCATCACTGCCCTGAAACTCCCAACCCGAGGGCTCCCAAGTTCTGGCTCATCCAGTTCAAGTAGTTCTCTCCAAGCCACCAACATGGACTAGTCCAAGCCCCGTCCGTCCCCTCCAGCCTGAGTTACTTCCATAGCCCCCTGGTGGCCCCACCTGCCATCCGGGATCCAAAGAGGGACCTTTCTAAAACACAACCTGAATAAGCCACTCCCCTCTGGAAACGCTTCCCTCCCTGCCTCCGCCATAAAGTCCTACCGCCCGATGGGACCTGGGAGGCCCTTCACCACCCAGCCCTGGCCCCGGCGTCAGAGCCTGCCACGTCGCAGCTGAATAACGCACAGGGGATCACATACCGCCCCTTAGCCTCAGCTTCTCCCTCTGCAAAATGGGACTAACAAATCCTACTCTGAAGAGTCACTGTGAAGACAAGAGACTGTCTGACACAGTCCCCAGGGCACAGAAGGTGCTGGATAAACAGAAGCCACTCTTGGTGGAAGTGGGAGCGTGCTGTGGCATCTCCTCTCCCCCACTCCAGCCACATGGGGCCACTGAGAACGTCTCTCCGTGCCTTCGCACGGGCTGTTCCCTTCCCCACGCTCCCACAGCCCCACGGTGCTGCCCCGCACATGTCTCTATCCGCCACAGTCCTGCTGCAGCTGTGGTCACTCCTGTACACAGCTCTCCCTTGGTGGCCTGAGGAACCAAGCGCAGCTCAGGCAGCCCCGTAACTGTAAGCCAGGTGGCCGCTGGCTCCAGAAGGCCAGTAAGTGGCACCAGCCCACGGAGGGGAACAGAGGATGGCGGTGGTGAAGGGGGAGGGCTACCTCTGGTCCTGGCCACCAACAGTATGTCCCTCCCACCCTCTCCACAAGGGAGACCGTGTGCCTGCCAGGGCTCCAGCCACAGAAAGAGGCCACGGTAGAAAGCACACACGGGTGAGGCCAAAATGATAGCATGAAGTAGAATCTAAGTTACTCCTGAAGCTGGAAAATGAATCCTGCTGCCTGTGATGACTCAAATCTGTACAAAACTGGAAAGAGCCGTGGCCGGCTGATGCCAAACACCGCAGAATCTAGATTCCAGCTCCTGGCCCAGTCAGGGGCCCGGGGCTCCGTAGCTCCCATTGACCAGAGCCCTCGGTGGCCCAGATGCTGCCACTTCTTTCACAGCTGCCCCCTCAACAGCAGATGCAAGAGCAGGGACCACTCGCCGCTGTATCCCAGCACCTGGCGCCAGGTCTGCCCGGGCAGGCTTCCTTCGGGTTTTTTGGGTTGGGCCCGGGGTTGGGGGGGGCCGGGGCCCGGGGTTGGCCTTCCCGGGGTTGGAAGGGCCCCGTCAGTGGGCTGGCCTGCGGGCGAGCCACCTGCTCTACTCTCGTGGGGTGCCCACGCAGTCAGAAGTAGCATGTCCAAAAGGATTCATTAGTATTGCAGTTTCGACAGAGTGTTCAAATAGGTGGGCCTATGAGGATTAAAAATATTTTTTCCTTCTAAAATTCCATTTCAATGAGATGCTGCTCTGCTGCCCCCTCCGCCAGAGCAAGTATAACTATTTAAAATAATTTAAAACTTATACGTTACATGCTGGCAAGGTTGCCTGAATTAACGATTCTATAAACCTAAATCTATAGAATTTCGGTTCTGAACAAGTTCATTCCATAAACATAAATGCTTTTGAGGGCTTTTCCGTTAACATCAGTGAAACAAGCACTTGAAATTTTCAGCCAAGAAACTGCTACTATCTGCTAACATCAATAACGTCCTTGACAGCCCCTAGAAATTTATGGCAGAGCTTTAGAAATAAAAATAAAACTGGCTTTCTGACTTAAAAAGTCCTTGATACCTACTGAGCAACACTCTCTGCAGAGATACTATTATCTTCACCTCTTTAACAGATAAGCAAGTTGAGCTAACTGACCAAGGTCAGAGAGGAGCTGGGACTTTGAATCCAGGCAGTCTGACTCATCATAAATTATACTATGTTATAAATTATCTACAGAACTGAGCCGTCCAATGCAAAAGCCACTAGCCACACGTGAGTGCTTAAAATTAAATTTAAAATTCAGTTCCTCATCACACCAGCCTCATTTCAAGTGCTTAACAGCCACCCGCCCTGTCGGACAGCACAGGTCTAGAACATTTCCATCACTGCCAAAAGCTCCATTGGAGGGGGCAGTGGTATAGAATGTTATGAAGTTTCTTTAATAAAATATCTTTATAAGGTTTTTTTATGCCCCAGAAAAATGTTTATGATATACTGTTAAGAAAAGTAGAATCCAAAACGGCACATGAGATTTGGGGGATAGAGTTATGTGTAAATACTGTTACGGATGACCCTTGAACAGCACAGGTATGAACCGCGTGGGTCCACTTATATGCAGATTTTCTTCTACCTCTGCCACATCCGAGACAGCAAGACCAACCCCTCCTCCTCCTCCTCAGCCCACTCAATGTGAAGACGACGAGGATGAACACCGTTTATCACAATCCACTTCCACTTAATGAACAGTAAATGTATTTTCTCTTCCTTAGGATTTTCTTAATAACATGTTCTTTTCTGTCTTACCTTATTGTAAGAATACAGTATATAATACACATATAAAATACGTTAATCAACTGTTTATGTGATTGGTACGGCTTCAGATCAACAGTAGGCTGTTAGTACTTCAGTTTTGGGGGAGTCAAAAGTTATACTCAGATTTCTGACCACATGGGGGGTTGGTGCCCCTAACCCTCACGTTGTTCAAGGGTCAACTGTATTTTGTTTTATAGTTTTGCGAACTTTGCAGATTTTTTTAGAAGGAGAGTAATTTATTTATTTTACTCTCATAACCACGAAATAAAAAACCTCTGAGCGAAAGCCAAACGAGGGGCACTCACCCGCCCGATCTGCGGAAACATACTAAAGGACACCGGCACCATCAGTCCCATCATCAGGACAGTGCAAGACAGTTTTGCAGTCCATAACGACCGTGGATTTTTCAGGAAAAACTGGGTCCTGTAAGAGAGAAGGTACAGAGATGACGCTAAACTCTCAGGGCCGTTTCAGAGGGTGGCCTTTTGCTCTCGTGGCGGCAGGCCCTGCCCTGGCTCCTGCTCAACTCACCGACGGGCGATGAATGCAGCTGCACTGACCGAGCGCCCGGTCTGCACTGCGCACAGTGTTCAACGCGTCACCTGCATTCGCTCACCTGATCCCCCCGAAGCCTACGAGCTTTGTGCCATCATCATCATCATCCCCTCCACACAAGGAGAAAATGGAGGCACAGACTTGTGAAGTTGGGTACATACTCAAAATCCCATAGCCCAAAATGACAGGTCAGATTCTAGAGCTGGTGCTCTTGACCTGGGCTAACCTGACATGGATGTGACATTCTGACCTTGACCTTTGGAGAGCAAAAGAGACAAAGATTGGGGTCTGGTTGAGGCTCTACCACTGACAGACTCTGTGCTCTCGGGGAAGCCATTTTCCCCCAAGGAGCCCGTGGGTTTTTTCAGAGGCAGAATGAGGGCAATGAGTTAGAAAACTCACGAAGGTCACTCCAGCTTGGATACTGTTTACTATCCTGGCCCTGGGATGGTGTTTCTGGGAGGTCGCTTGATGGCTAGGTCCTTCCAAGAACCCCCATGTCCTCGGGGAAACGAGGACCATCTCTCCCCACCAGGCAGCCTGTGCCGTTCATGTAGGAGGAGCTCCAACTTTGAGGCCAGACAGCCCGGGAAGCATCTGATAGAGCAGAAGTCTCTGCACCTATCCAGCTGGGTCAACCTTGGGAAGGAACAGTGGGCTCTGCCTGGGCCCCTGCCCCTGCTTCCTGAAAATGTGCTGCACGTGTGGTTCTAGAGGCAGCTTCCCGGATTTACCATGCTGGAGAGGGTGGGTGGGAGCAGCAACGGGCATGTGACTCAACTCGGGCCGACAGATTCCTTCCCTGGGAGTCTCTGAACTGAGGGGACGACACTCCTGCCTCCCCTGGGGCTTGCTGTGTTTTATCTCTGATCAGGAGGCTGTGAGGATGTGAGCTGGGAGTTACGAGCAGTTGGGTCCCTGCTCAACATGAAGAAGCCAATCCGACAGGAGAGAGGGAAGCCAAGATCCACAAGGGAGAGGAAGACAGCGTCTAGCAGTGGAGCTTCTGCTCAAGCTGCTGCAGCCTACACTCCTGGCCTGTTCCCGGACCTAAACCCCCTCCCTCCGGCCTAGGCTCTCGCGGCTGCGTTCCTCACCCTGGAGACCACAGCAGCCCTGACTGATCCCCTGGCCGCTGCCTCACAGGCCATTTCTTGCTTCACAGAAGGGAAGATGGTCTACTGAATCTGGGGCCACTTAAGCTAATTTAAAACACGCTCAGAATGGGGGTGGGGAGAAGACTTGAGCAATATTCACAGCACGTAAGAGCTGGGAGAACTTGCAAACCATCCGAACCCATCATTCTAGAAGCGAGCAAATGTGCCTCGGCAGGTCCTTGGACACGCCAAGGACAGAGCTAACCGAGGACAGAGCCTGGGCCGGCGTTCAGGTTTGATGGAATACGAACATCGGGACTGCCACGCCTGCCCCAAATCAATCCTACCGTCGGAACTGTGGTGGCAGCGCTTGTGGGACGATCATTGAGGTGACCTCTCCCCACCCCTCCCAGCAGGGTCAGGATCTGACAAGTTTTATGAGGATTTTGACTGTCAAAATGTTTATTGCTACCTGGGGACAGGAGAGTACCTCTTACCTTTTAAAAAAGGAGGCGAAGACTTCAGGAATAAGAGCTGAGGTCCCAAACAGCACTGCCCTGGATATGGCTGTTTCTTGGACAGCCTAGTGCAAATGAGAAGAGAGCTTAGCACGTGGCACAGGATGATTTCCAGGGATCCCGCAACTCGTGCCAGAGACAGGCCAACAGCAACTCCCCTTTCTCACTTAGAAAAATAACACACGTGGAAACAGGTGGTGTTCTCACCTCACGTACGCCTTTCCGGGCGCAGGTGTGTGGAGGTTGGCTGGGGTTGGTGGCTCCCCCCTCCCTGACTCCACGATGGTCTCTATCAGTCTGCCAAACCACCCCAAATAAACTACCAAGTACAAGCAAAGGCAGCTTCTAGACAAATCCTCACTTAGAACCCAACGGCAGCCCCATTGGTGGAAACGCTGGATTTGCCATTGAGGTTCATTCCACATTTTCCTTTCAACCCAGGACTCTGCCACTGGCCTCCTATCCTGAACCGGCTTCCCAGATTCCCTGCCATGGAGGAATCCTCCAGAAGCCCAGCTCTAAGTACAACGGCGTGACATCACACCCACATGGCCACCTGCCCGTACCCGTCTTTCCCTTGTGTAATCCAAAGTGTTGTTCTGTAAAATTTTATTTTGCAGATATGTATCTACAGTTTGTAATGTTTTGTCATCTTTTCTATAATGTACATGACTCCATATATTGAACATTAAACTCCATTATATTAAACATTTAAACACATAATTTACTGTATGGGATATATGCACAAAACTATATATCTTCGAGGGTACTTTAAAGGACTTTTAAGGGAAAAAAAATTTTTTTTTAACCCCAAGAATCCTAAAGACAGACAAGGGAAATTGTGACTATACAATGGCTCACACGTTAACTTTAGAACCCAGTCCCTGGGTAAGACTTAACTCCACAATCGGCACACTCTGTGCTCAGGAGGAACCCCCCCACCCCCCACCCTTCCAACTCCCTTCCCTCCACTTCGAGCTTCCCATGACTTGCCTACGACCTTCCCGGGCTCCTGACCTGCGCAGGGGCCCTGCTCTCTGCTCACACCTCTGCCCAACTGGCAACGCGCACGTGCTCGGTGGGTGCTGTTCCCTCTGCAGGGAATGTCTTTCCCTCCAACAGGACAGAGGAAGCTGAGGACGGCTGTTTTAAAAATAAGGTTTCAGGACTATAAAGTAAAATCGCTCAACATCAGGACGAAAATGGCTGCTATTTCCACGTCAGTGGGGCAAGCCCGCCTCTCTCCGTTTGTCTCGAGTGTAAGGGGAAGACGGTCAAACAGGACACCTGTCATTAGGAGGCACTGTCTGCGACTGAGTGGCTGATGAGGCCAGTTGGGGGAAAACAACATCAACTGGTCGTCTGAAATGTGATCAAAGGTGCCCTATTACAATCAGATATTGCTGGTTACGCAGTTTCTGAAATTTCAGCCAAAGAAAATAAACCTTTCAGTGACAGGAAAATGATAAAAGAATGCTTATGCTTACGCACAGTCGCAGACACTATTCTTTAGAGAAAGATAAACATTTTTTTTTTAAAGCAGGCCATTAAACCTTTTCTTTTACGGTAACCTGGCTCTCACGCAAAGAAGTTCCCCTGGTGAGAAGGGCTCCAGACAGACAGCTGGGAAGCTGGCGCTCCTGGGGACAGGCGGCTCTGGCTCAGAAGGGTTTGGGTCTCCAGAGCCTGGCAGGCAGGAGGTGCTTGGGGACAGCTGGCTGATTAAACAGTTGCTTTCACTCTCCTCCTCAGCTTTATGAGTAGTTTCCGGCAACGCTAACACCCTGAAGTTCAGGCTGAGTTGAGGAGAAATGCAAACACATGACTACACAAAAAGGTGCCAGTGAATGTTGAGAGCAACGTTACTCATAATAGCCAAAAACTGGACGCAACCCGCGTCCCTCGCCTAGGGGATGGACAAGCAAAACGGCTCATCCATACAATGGAACGCTACTCAGCAGTAAAAGGGAGCACACGGCTGACACATGGCACGAGTCAGATGAAAGTCAAAGGTGAAAGAAGCCAGGCACAAAAAACTATCATATGATTCACTTATGTGAAATTCTAGAAAAGAAAAAGCTAGGAAGACATGAGCAGATCAGTGTTCCCCTGGAGCTGGGGCTGGACGCGGGAGCCACTGGACATGGGCGTGCAGGAAACTTTTAGGGAGATGAAAACGCAATGTCCATAAACATGTTCTGCAATCAGACAGTTGTGATGGTCGCACGAATGTTTTTTTGTTTTTTTTTGAGACGGAGTCTCGCTTTGTTGCCCGGGCTAGAGTGAGTGCTGTGGCGTCAGCCTAGCTCACAGCAACCTCAAACTCCTGGGCTCAAGCAATCCTTCTGCCTCAGCCTCCCAAGTAGCTGGGACTACAGGCATGCGCCACCATGCCCGGCTAATTTTTTCTCTATATATATATTTTTAGTTGTCCAGATCATTTCTTTCTATTTTTTAGCAGAGACGGGGTCTTGCTCTTGCTTAGGCTGGTCTCGAACTCCAGACCTTGAGCGATCCACCCGCCTTGGCCTCTCAGAGTGCTAGGATTACAGGCGTGAGCCACCGCGCCCGGCCCACACGAATGTTTCGAATTGACTAAAATTCATCAAACTATACTCTTACAATGGATGAATTTTATAGTATATAAATTATACCTCAATAAAGCTGTTGTAAAAAAAAAGTCTCTTCCTTTAAAAGCTGTGATAGGCAGAATAATAATAAAAATAAATAAAATATAAATAAGTAAAAAAAGTCTCTTTAGGGTAGTTTATCTTAGGCCCAGAACCTTCATTTCAAATTCAAGACATATTTTCTTTCTGGCAGCAATTTCTCTCCTTCTTACTTATAATTATTGTGTCCCTATTGTAATTCATTTAGAAAGGGGCCATGCTACTAGATGGTCTAGCGGAAATACCACAGCATGTGTCTGATGGTTTATAATTCAGCTCCGTCAATCACTGACAGGATTTAGAGGAATATGTTTCGTGACCCAAATAATGACATATTTATCGATGGAATGAACAGCCACTTTTCTGGCCTCCTCTTCCACTGACATGCTGGCCAGTAGAAGGACGTCTGGCTGGCTAAGGAGTCCCCCCTGTGTGCTGACACCGGGAGACACACAGTCCCTTCCCTCCGTATCAGGAGCTGTTCCATGCTGCCCTCTAGGCCATCTGCAAACAATTGCCTCACACTGTAATTCTTCAACTAAAGTCATTTTACACACACCAAAAAAGATCTCCCCTGCTAAAAACACATTCCTTAAAAGTCCACACCCAAAATGAAACTACCAGAGACTATAGCAGGTTCTTAGCTAAATGTACACAGAAACCACTGTGTTGCTTTGAGCAAAAAAAAACGCAAATAAATAAACTATTTAATAGTAAAAATTATTCAAACTTTAGGCCTTTGTAAGAGTTTTAGATCAGAGCATTGGATTTCCTAAAGTCCATCCTTGGTCCTTAACGGTGCAGACTATAAGAAAATCTGCTGAGGCAGAAGACAGAGGGCTTCTCTTACCCCCAGAGAGAGGTGTCTGCTGGCCTCCTTGAGTGTAGAGCAGGCTGGGAGGGGAGTGGGCCCCAGGAGGGATCCCTAATCAAACACTGGGAGGGCAGATATTGAACTTGAAGAACAAGATCTCACACTCAGGAGCCCAGCACTTGCTAGACACCCTCTGTAGTGGTCAGCCTCGTGGGTCATCTTGGCGACAGCACCAGATAGTCAATCAAGCCCTAATCTTGGTGTGGGGCATTCTGTAGACGTGGTTAACATCTACAAAGAGCTGACCAGGTAAAGGAGATCACCCTCCACAATGTGGGTGGGCCTCATCCAGTTAGGAAGCCGTAGAGCAAAAACTGAGGGTTCCCAAAGATGAGATTCTGCCAAGGGCTACAGCACCAACTCCTGCCCGGGTTTCCAGCCTGCTGCCTGCCCTGAGATTCCCAACTTATCGGCCGCATAATTGTGCAAGCTGATTCCTCAACGTAAATCCCTTAATAGATACGTACGTATGTCCTATTGGTTCTGTGTTTCTGGAGAACCCAGACTCATGCCCCTCTTTCACACGTCAGGGGACAAACACGCAAAATCTGTCAGCATGCTGAGGGAGGAGGGGTGAGGAAGGGTTGAAAGCAGACGTGAATTTGTCACCAGCTCTCAACTAGAAACGTCAGTTCTTTGCCCAAAGAGCAGGCAGCTAGAGCTTCATTGTGTCCCTTACCTTTCTCCCGGCTCTTCTGGAATGGCCTATGACATTGCCTTCTTTGTCCATGACCTCAATCCCTCGAATGGGCTCAAAACCCCGGGATGCAAAGACATTCATGGCACTGACGTGCGCTGTAGGTGCAAAAACAAGAGGAGGCTGCGGCAGAGGGATGAGACCCGGTCCAGCCAAGGAAAGTCTTTTCGGGTTTCTGTCCACTTCAAGCCTCTTTTTCTGAGGGCTGCCCTTTTCCCCACCCTGGGGTGGTCACCTGCCACAGGCTGGGCCAACCGTGCTCTCCTGGGGCAGTGCAGAAGGCTCAGAACAGCTGCCCATTCAGCCTTGGGTACAGCTTCTGGCACTCCCGAGGCCCAGCCCGACTCCCCAACAGGATTCCAGAAGAAACCCCAGGACCCTTGAAACATACCCCTCGTCTTTGCTGACGCTGGTTGGGCCAGGTTTCCGTAACATACGAGTAATTTCCCCAGTTTCCCGCCTAAAGTCAGTCTGCCAACCCTTCAATCTGCTCTGATTCCTAAACCCAAATTTGGAGCATGGCGTAGTGAGCATGCAGGTTGGCAAACTCAAAATATTCAGCTAGTATCTCTGCTTCTCTGCCTGGAGGCTGACGACCGGGCTGGATCCCTGTGCTACAGCTTGCTCGCTGTGCAACTCTGGGCAAGGTACTCAACAACCCTGTGCCTCCTTCTCCTCATCTGCACATGGGAATAATAATATTTCTTCCCCGTAAGTTGATGTCAGGATTAAGTGAACTCATGCACACAGAGCGCTTATGCCAATAGTCTTTAAGATATAAGTTAGGTTTCCAGACCTGTGTTCATCCTTTGGCAATTAATGGAGTATCCACAGAAAGTGTCACCTCTCAAACCAAAGACCTAATCTGGGCTGGGGTAGGGGCCCCAGCAGGCTGCAAATGGTTCCTATCATCTGTCACAATGTGGCCAAGGGACCCAGGTATCTCTGGAAACAGAGGAAGGCTCACAGACCACAAAGACAAGCCCCAGACTGCATGCTTCCAGCCCTTCCTACTCACTGAGAAGGGCGACAGGTAAGACTCTTTTGATCCAAGGGTTATCCAGGGAATATTTCATTTGGATCAAATAAGGAATAAGCTAGAAAATAAGAAAGAAACATCAGGATTGCATGGGGCCAAAAATAAGCTACACATACTCAACAGCAGAGAGCTCACACTGGCCTAGTGCCTGTAACAGGTCGCACTATTGCCAACGCTCTCCATGTATTTTTGTGTTTTAATTCTTACAACACTAAGGTGCTCTCCCTGCTCATCTGAGGAGTAAATAGGGGCTTTGAGAGGTTATGTAAACTTGTCCAGAGTCACAGAGTCATTAAGGGTTTAAGCCAGGATGGGAACCCAGGTTTGTCTGACACTAAAGTCTCCACTTTTAACCCCTACTGTGTCTTGACATCGGAAGCAATACACAATTCATATAACATGTTTGTGTAGCATAAATTAATTCTTTAAAAGACATCAGTAGAAGAAGCAATTACTCCTGTGCCTAGTAGTATACTTTCTGGTGTTCGATGACTAAAGAAAAAGAAAAGCACGTATTTAGCAAATATCACAGTTTTACACAGCAAGGATAACTAAAAAAAATACATGAAAAACCACAAAAGAAATAATACAACAGAACACTGCATACCATCTGGGTCTCAGAATATTAATGTAATTATTTCGGGGTGATAGGACTACAGGTGACATTTCCTATTCATACGTTCTAAATTGTTTAAGTTGGAACACAAATTTGTAATCACAATAAATAAAGCTTTTTTTTTTTGATTCCAGGGAATAAAGAAGATTTGACAGATATTAAAAACACTTACCCCAAAGAAGGTTGAAGAAGCAATTACTCCTGCCCCTAGTACTATACTTTCTGGTGTTTGACGACTCTAAAGAAAAAGAAAAGCACGTATTTAGCAAATATCACTGTTTTACACAGCAAGGATAATTAAAAAAAAAAAAATACAAAAAACCACAAAAGAAATAATAGAACACTGCATACCATCTGGGTCTCAGAATACTCACGTAACTCTCGTTGCCGTTGATAATGTTGAATGCTGTCGTGTAAGCATACAAGGAAACCTGCAGGAGAGGCAGATGGGCAACATTCTGATTTCAAGCATAACAGAATTCAGCCTTCGTGAGACAGAAATAATTGCTACCTGAGGTAAAACAACGGACATCATCCCTTTTGCTGGCATCATCGACAAAAATACCTTTTAAGAAGAAAGTAGAGCAGAGTTACAAGTGCTTTGTGGGAGAGAGGGCTTTTGGGAGCAAAGAACTTTCCAGGGGAGGTGTAGGAGTGAGCCCCCTAGGAGCTGGGGTAGGAGAGGAAGGTGGCGGGTACAGGGGCTGCCAGGCAGCAGACAAGCCAAGGTTGAGTGAGCACCTGCCAGGCACCGAACTGGCAGCTCTGAGGACACCCAGGAGCTCAGTGGGCCCTGTCTCCAAGGCCTGCAGTCCCCCAGGGCTGCCAAGGGGTAGGCACTTGCCAGGGGAGACAGGCACGGGCCAGTGATGTGAGCAAAAAGCACATCTGAGAGCCAAGGTGGGACAGCCTTGCTGGGGGCAACTCCAGGTCCCAGGTGAGGGGCTGTACTGAGGGAGGACTCGGGGAGAGAAGGAAACAGATGATTACATGGGACTTGCTGCACAAAGCACCTCCTAACTCACTGACCTCTTCTATAGGGCTTTGGGCACACGGGCTAAGGATCCCTTATCCAAAATGCTTGGGACCAGAAGTGTTTCGGATTTTGAATTTTTTTTGATTGTGAATTATTTGCTTATACATAATGAGATATCTTGGGAGGAGGCTCAAGTCTAAACACTAAATTCATTTATGTTTTATATATATGGTATACATATAACCTGAAAGTAATTTATACAATATTTTTAATAATTCTGTACATGAAACAAAGCTTTGACTGCCATGGAATTTTCTATTTGTGGCATCATGTCGGTGCTCAAACCATGTTTTGGATTTTAGAGCATTTTTGATTTTCAGATTAGCAATGCTCAACCTGTGGTAGGTATTCAAAAAAAAGGATGACCTTGTGACACTGTGGACCTTCGAGAGGTCACCCATTGGGTAAGGAGGGTGAGGGGTGGGGGCTGGAGGAATGGATATATACATCAACAGCAGCCAAGGGTCACAGGTGGGGGCCCAGAGCCATTTATCAGGCAGTCCTGAGACACAGGTCCAGAGCTGGAGGGACACAGTTGAGGCTAGGAGATGAGTGGGTGGCAGCATACTCACCGTGGGCATCGTGAAAGGCAGGAAGGCTGGCAGGGGAGAGAAGAGCCGTCAGTGCCTGCAGCTGCCCAGGCAGGAGGCGGGAAGGGCACCACCCACCGGAAAGCCACTTCCCCAGCTGGGGAAGGCACAGACCTCAAAGGAGATTTTTTACTCATTCTTTTTTTCCTAATAAAAATACAAACTCTGTGCGTAAAATTACCATAACTATGGCAAAGTCAAAACAGCACAGTATACAGAGAGACCTAACTCAAGGCCTCTCCCCGCTGCAGGCAGGCGTGTTCATCAGCATGCGCTCACCCTTCCAGATGAACTGTTGGATACGTCCGTCAGCACAGACACAAACTCTCTCACACGCACGGCCCTTAATTATCCAAACACGGTCACCACACGCTGTTGTATGCTTTGTACTTTTTCCCTGAATACTAATTCCTAAAGATCTCTCTTTCTATATCAGCATCGAGGACTTACCTCTTTCCTTTTTGTTTTTTTTTTCCATCTGTGTTCCATCTACCATCCTAATTCTTTTTAATGAATTATTTAGAGTCTGAATCGTTGGATATTTATGTTGTTTCCAGCGTCTTGTTTATAATATATACAGAATTATAGTTGGAAGGATCATGGATTGGATTTTATTCCTCTCATCTTAGATGTGGTGAAAATGAGAGAGAATAGTAAATGGTCTCCCTAATACTAGCACTTACGAGCTGCAAGTTCTGGAACCAGGAAATCATCGTTAAGTTCATGGGGCGTGTGGAGCCAGGCGGGATCCACTCGCAGGCCTGTCCCCTCACCCCCAAAGCCCAGATCTTTCCACGGCACTGGACACAGCTCTGGGCCCTAAGCCTGCTCTTCTGCATGAAAACCCCGGACCCCACAAGCATTCTTTTTAAGCTGTGTTGTCAGACTCACCATCAGAAATCCTGCTAGGAGGAAAAAATTAAAAGAAGGCAGGCAGAGATTTCTCAGTGTTACAAACCACGTCTTCCCAACCCGCTTCTGAAAATTGGAAACAACTCACCGGCAGGTCGAAAGAGAGCGGGGATCGGTCTGCCGCTGTCGGGATGCACTGTTGACTTAGAGGGGAGACGCGAAGGTTAGCCAGATGTTTGGTTTTGTTATTTTAGGAGGCCAAAAATTAGGACGGGGCTGAAACTTACAAGACTCCTCTTCCAAGCTTCTCGTATCTAAAAATGAAAACGAAAAAAAAAAAAACCAAGCAATGGCTTTTAAAGGTGGCTCAGCAGCAAAGAATCTTGCCAGTCTCATTTCTGGGGTCATCTGTGCCCCGCCTTTCAGAAACTAAAGGCCAGAGCTGTTTTCTACTACACAGATGGAACAAATCAAAACGAATGAATCAAAGGAATTAACAACTGTTCTGTCTCTAACCTTGGAGAGGACCAACACCTAACTTACCCCTCAGATGAGTTCCTTGCCCCTGCTCGGAGCAGGCTGTATGCAGAAGATGCCACTATGCCATTAGCCAGGTGGCTTGCAACACAGCCAAACTGTCAGCCCAGAGGCCCCAACAAGTTCTTAGGAAAACCAAGTTAAACATGTGAGCTTTCCAGTTTGCCTTGTGGGACTGGTGGTTGTGAGCTAAGGAAAGCCCTACACACTGCAAGGCAGATAAGGAGAACTCGGTTTGAGCCTGTGGGCAGAACACTAGCTGGAACGGAAAACAGATTCTGACTTCAGAGGACTGCCCGAATTCTGGAGTTTGCCAAGGGGCTCCGGGAATCAACTACAGAGAATTCCCACTAGTATCCATGAGGAATACTGCTCTGTCTAGTTTATGGGATGGAATTCTAACTGCATTTAAAAAACTAACCCAGTTTTTTTGTTTTGTTGTTTTTTTATTTTATTTATTTTTTTTTTTGAGACAGAGTCTCACTGTGTTGCCCGGGCTAGAGTGCTGTGGCGTCAGCCTAGCTCACAGCAAGCTCAAACTCCTGGGCTCAAACAATCCTCCTGCCTCAGCCTCCCGAGTAGCTGGGACTACAGGCATGCGCCACCATGCCCGGCTAATTTTTTTTTGGTATATATTTTTAGTTGTCCAATTAATTTCTTTCTAATTTTAGTAGAGACGGGGTCTCGCTCTTGCTCAGGCTGGTTTCGAACTCCTGAGCTCAAACAATCCGCCCGCCTCGGCCTCCCAGAGAGCTAGGATCACAGGCGTGAGCCACCGCGCCCGGCCAAACTAACCCAGTTTGGAAAAGCTGGTCCCCTGGGTGGTGTATAACGATGACAAGATTAACCACCAAAATTCCACCTGATTTCAGACCATGCAGGCACAAATATCTGAAGGCAACTGCGCCCGGTCTTGAACCAGGCAACCTTGGGCACACAAGACATACCGTTTGATACTCCAAGGCGTGTCCGGATGCATCTTCATTGGTGAACAACAGCTGCCTTGCTTTTTCTATGTTTTCCTATAATTAGAAACCAAGAAATCAAGCAACGATCTCAACATTGTTCATATTTATCCACATATTTAGGAATCACAAGCTCACTCACCAGCATACAATGTATTTCAAATGCACACCTGACAGCGACGCCACATGGATCCTTACTTAGATTTCTACTCCCTGAGAGGTTCCACGAGGACAGTCCTGTTTGTCATTCAGATTTAGGCCTCCTGCTTCCCAGACAGCCTCAATAGCTTCCCCGCAGGTGCTGTCACACACCCCCTCTATTTATCCCCTTACAATCTAACAAGCGCATTCCGACGGAATAAAAACAAAATAACATATAGATTCTGTTACTTCAACTACTTGTAAAAGGAACACATGGTTTTCAAGTGTGAAAATAAAATGTGAAATTCATTATCTCCGAAAACAAAAAAAATACTTACAACTGAAATGAACAAATTCAAAGGATCTAATAGTTCTGTCCACTGAAGAAATCGTCGAACAAAAGACTTGAGAGAGAAAAGTACCAGAAAGAAGGTTAACAACAGTAGAAAACTAAAGACATAGGGTAATAATGACCGTTGACACTTTTTTGGAGAAACTACTAGGGCCCTGTCCTGTGACCTGCTTTAACCAGCATCACCTCCTGGGAACCTTCCAATCTCCCCATTTCACAGGTGAGGAAGCTTAGGCTTAGAAGGGCTAGTGGGTGTGATGAGCTCAGGGCAACACCGCCAGGAAATGGCTCAGCAGCAGTCTGTGCTCTTCACCCCTCAATGGCAAATTGCTCCTGAGGGTTAAAAGCCCAGATTTGGGGGGTTCACATGGGCATACGTTCATATCTTACACATGACCTTGAAGCAACGACCCGGAAAGGTCTCTGAATCTGTTTCCTGATTCTCAGGGTGTGGTGAGGCTTAACTCCAGCAATATGGAATTCGATGCCCCAGCAGGGCACAATAAATGCATCTGGGTTCCCACGTGCAGAAAGCAGGCATGGTTTGCTCCAGGAAGCCCCAAGCTTTGCAGTGGTTCTGGCTTTAAGTCCTGGCTCTGCCCTTACTGATTACATGTTGAAATGTTAATAGTTTGTACCTGTTGGGTTAAACGCAATCTATTAAAATTAATTTCAGCTGTTTCTTTTTACTTTTTTTAATGTGGCTACTAGAAAATTTTAAATTACCTAGATGACTCACATCATATTTCTATTGGACAGCTAAGCCCTAGACGGTGCAAGGAGGTGAGGCCTGTGTTTCTTCCTGTCAACGGTGGCTTCTTCCCAAAGCCTCAGGGCCTCACCGCCGGTGACTGCGCCTACCAAGGTGGCAAGACCTGTTTCTCTCCAATCGCTTGCTCAGCCACAGCTTAGGCAGCAGAGAGCAGACACCTGCGAGGACTAGACTCCTCCGGGAGATCTGCATGGCGACCTTGTGGCCATCAGCAAGCTTGGCTTTCCCCTCCGTCCCCTCTCGCGGCCTGCGCTAGGAACGCGGGTGGTGCGCGCTCCAAGGCCGACTCCGGGACGAGGAAAGGGAGCCGCGGGGCGACCGCGTGGCCTGCCCAATGTCACTCGGCCTGACTCAGCGCTGCGCGGCCCACGCCCCCACCCCGTCCCCAGCCGCGCGGGGCCCGGGCCGTACTTGGGGTTCGGCGATCCAGAAGCGCACGTTGGGCTCCATGCCGGCGGCCGCGCCCCTGCACCCAGGGAGCCGCCCGGCCCTGCGCTTCTCGTTCCCGGGACCTACGTGATGGTTGGAGCGGCCGCCGCCGCCGCCGCCAGGCCGGGCGCGGAGGAGGAGCCGGGCTTGGTGCCCCGCCCCGAGCCGCGCGCACCCGCGTTCCCGCCCCGGGCTCCCGCGCGCCCGCTGTTCCGGCGAGCAAAGTCCTCGCTGCCCTGCTCCCACGACACAGCACCTACTGCCCAGACCCTGTGGGCACCCCGCAACCTAGCCCCGTGGCCATGACCCTCGCAGATCCCTTCAGTTGACGATGAAGTTCACTGTACACGGTGTTGGGCATAGTCGGGGCCGGCTGCGTCATTTGCCCGGCCGGGTGAAAATTGAATGTGCGGCGCCTTTTATTCAAAAATTGCGAATTTCAAAAAGCAACAGAGCATTACTCCAAGCCTGGGACCCCAAGCACAGCGCACTATCCCTCAGCCCGACAGTTTTTCCCCAGTGTTGGGGCGAGTCCAGTTTCTTTATTGAATGCATGCGTTCCCTTCCTCCCCCCGCCCCTTCCCCAGCACTGGGGTGGGGGTCGTTTGAATGCGTGGAAGCCAGAGGCGTGTTTAGCGTGTCCAGGGGCCCTGCAGAGGCCTGGGCTGGGGGACCCAGCACACCACTTAGTCGTGTGACCCTGATCAAGTCAGTATCTCGAAGTCTATATTTCTCATCTGTAAGAATTGTACCTATCTCAGGGTTTTGTTTGGATTAAAGGAGCTAAACCTGTAAATACCCTAACACCACCGCCGCTGGCCCAGTGGATTAGCGCCCAGCTAGCCAATCGCCTCCCTTGCCTTGCCCCTCCAGGACCAGGAAACCAGCGCAGTTTTCTTCAGGCCCGTGTGACTTGGTTCCTACATTTGCTCAGCTGACCCGGTTCACTTTTCTGTAAACTTTGAGCCCATCTCCTCTTCTAGGAAGCCTTTCCTGACTTCCAGAACTGAGTAAGATGCCCCCTGCTGTGTCCACATTATGCCCCAGAAATCCATCTATGGCACCACAGTATTTAGCAGAACATATTATTCTGTTGGTTCTATCCTGAAGTATGTCACACAGTCAGCCCAGCTGGCCTCTCCTTCCCCACTTTGGACCCCAATAGTCCTGTCTTAACAAAGGAGCCAGAGCCATCTTAGGACAAGTTGATGTCACTCTTCTTTTCAAAACCTTCCTGATGGTTCCCATCCCAGAACAGAACCAGTCCTTAGCTTGCCCATAAGGGCATTCTGGACACCCTCACCACCATCCTCCTCCTTCACTACTGCAGTCACATGGCCTCCTTGCAATTCTCCATCTATCCCAAGCCCACTTTAGCCTCAGGGCCTTTGCACTTGCCATGCCCTCTGCCTAGCGGTTTCTAATCCCTCTAATTCCCTCACTTTCTACATGTTTTCTTTTATTTGGTCCTCATCAAAACCCTAAGATAGGTACAATTGTCCTCATTTTACAGATGAGAAAATAGACCCAGAGGGACTGACTTTCCCTTAAGGCTCTCCTTGACAACCTTATCTAGAACAACACCTACAACTCTCTGCTCTAGCCCCCTGCTCCACCTTACTTTCCTTCCAAACACTCTATGTATTTTAATTTTATTGTGCTTCCCTTCTAGAATATGAGCATAAAGACAGGGGCTTGAATTTTTTTGTTCATTCTTGCACCTCCTGATCAGCACACGGCACGTGGTAGGCACTCAAGGATTTACTGAATAATGTTTCCATATCTGTTTTCCCCTAAACTGAGCTCCTTGAGTGTGGAGCCAGCATTGTATTCACGTTTGTGGCCCATCTTTGTGGTAAATGCCCGATAAATGTTTGTTGATACAATCAGAGAAGGAAAAACAGACCCCAGAATAAGCTGATTCAACAGTTAATGGTTTCAAAATGCAAGTATTTTAAAATATGTTTATTTTTTTATACATTTGATAATGAACACTTCAAGAAAGAAAATTATAATAATTTCAAAGGCAATCCCTGGATTCAATAAATATCCTTTATAATTATACCTAATCAATGTCTAGAAACATGTAGACACTAAGTTAGCTAATGAATACAATCAGTAAAATGACTATATAAACTATAAATCTCAGGGATGAGGACCATGCATGATCAGTTAAGTCACTTTGCCGCGCTTTTTTATAACATGATTCACATTTTCTTCAATCACACATACATCCATTGCGAGAGTTAAGTTAGACTGCTGATGCTAACAACTTAAATTGTGATCTTTGTTACCTTAAAAGATTCAGTGTAATACAAAGAAATTCAAAAAGAAAATTTCAGGACCCTTGATCAGAGGCTTTTGATGCTTGTCGTACTACTTTGGTGTAGACGAAGGTTTAAGTAAGGCTAAGAAAAAAGAGTGTTTCTTTTACCCATTGAAGACATGATCTAAGAAACAGGAGAACAAGGCATTCTGCAGAAACTAGCTAGCTAGCCATCAAGATGTTACCAATAAAGTACTCTTTATGCTAGCAACTAACCACATTTAAAAAGCCTTAGCCAGCATTACAAAAACAAACTATAGAGTAATATTTATGAATACAAGCATAATTGGTTCTTTGCCTTCCACAACAATCATCTCTGCAATGCTAAAAGCAGATTCCAACTGTGGTTCTCCTCTGGTGTGAGAAGCTGCAGGTACACACGGGCGATCTACTGGTTTACCTTCTCAAAGTATTCTTTGGAAGCAGTTGGATTTGGCTTGATCTGAAAATACAAAAACATTTAATTGGGTAACGGAGTTTATGACAATAGTCTCAAAAGTGAGTTGAAAGCTACCAATTTTCAACCTAAAGTTCTTTAAATTTTTCAAGATTGGTCTGTTTCCTTTCAAACACATGGGGGAAGTTACATTAACAGCCCACAGGGGTCCCACGTGCCCCGCCCCGCCCCCACGCCGTCTACCCACCAGCAGCTTCCCCCGTTTGCGCACCAGCTACATCCCTGCTTCAAGGGCAGGCTCCCTTTTGCGCATATTCCCAGCCAACAGCCCTTGAGGCAGAAAGGACCTGGGACGCTGCTGGGATCCCACTGCTTTGGGGAAAAAAACCTACTGTAGGAGAATCCGGTGTCCAGTTTGCTGGGCAGACTTCTCCATGAGCTTCCACAAACTGGAATGCCTTCACCAAGCGGAGGGTCTCTTCCACACTTCGGCCCACTGGGAGATCATTGACACTCAAATGTTTGATGACTCCATTGGGGTCGATTATGAAGAGACCTCTGCATCAGAATTTATCCCCATTAGTACCTCAACAGCACTGGAACTAGAAACAGTCTGACTTCTGCCCTTTTATGTCTTTAATTCTCCTTTTAATAAAATTTATGAAGCTCTATAATATGCTTTAAAATGGGATTTTCATCGTTGTACAGAAAACTTACAATCTCATTGATGACAGATGCTTTCACAAAGGCAGGACTGGACCAGGTCACCATTGAAAACATGCAATATGGTCACATTTACAAATTCAAAATTGTGCCCTTAAATTGTGCCACACAGTATCTGAAAGTCACTGAACTACAGTGAAGATTTGTTTTTACCTATTAGTGATCTGGCAAGCATTCTTTGGGCTGCTGTATCAAATCTTGGCAAGAAATCATAAGCAAATGGGAAGGGACAGAGATGTATATTATCTATGTTCAATAAATAGTTATTAAATGAGTGAATTCTTGGGTAAATGGGGGCAAATCCCATAGGAAAATCTCTGTAGAAAGAATTTACTGGCTCTAAGCTCTGCAGAGCAGAAAACCAAACCCATCACTTTTTATTACTTAGCAGCATTGCAGTGAGATGACTCACCCTACCAGTGGTCTGTGTTCACCTTCTGTGTTAGTGTTACTGTGATATATGCAGATATGTTTAACCTAGAAGTTTTTGGTTTTTTGTTTTGTTTGAGACTGGGGTCTGTGTCGCCCAGGCTGGAGTGCAGTGGCTATTCTCAGGCACAATCATAGCTCACCACAGCCTCGAATTACTGAGCTCAAGTAAGTGATCCTCCCACCTCAGCCTCCTGAATAAATGGGACATGTGCACACCACTGCACTCAGGTGTTTAACCCAGAGGTCTTAAAAGACCATCTTAAAAGAATGTGGGAATTCCAAGTATTGATCACTTAGGGAAAAGTCAAGTTACAGAAAACTCAAGGTAAAAAGGTGCTCTCCCTCCCTGGGCCTGGCACTCGGGGGTCTGGGCTTTGAGGCAACTGGTCCTGGTGCATGCCTCCTAGGGGTGGAGCCAGCTAGAGTCCACCAGTGAAAACAAAGGCAGAGCTGGGATGGAGCAGGGCCCATGGACTCCAGAAAGAAAGTTGCATCTTACTAGCCACACTCGGCTTCTCTCTCTTGTTAATCCTGATATTAAAACCAGAAGGGACATAACTGAAAAATTAGCAACTCTCCACAGAGAAGGGGACTCTGGGATAAAAACAGCTGGCACTTTCTCCTGCCATTGCCAATTGTGAAAGAGCTAGACTTTAGGTTATTAAAGGAAGAAGTCAAAAAGGCCCAAATGCCAAGATGCCACCCTAAAATCCTAGGTGTAACCCACGAGGAGAGCAGGCTAGAGGTCAGCTACAAGAGAGAACTGGCGAGCTGGGTCCTACACAACTGTGAGGCACAGCAAATCAAGGCCCTCTCCTCCTGCCTGGAGGTCAAATTCTGCCCAATCCCTCCTTCACTCCTGTTCTCAGCAGACTTCAAATGTCAGCTCTAAGACCTAAGTTCTCACCCCTCCCAGAAAGGTTGTGTTTGTTCGACTGTGTAAGACTGAAAGCTTTTCACACTCAAAGGAATAAAAGTTTAACCAGAGACTGATGCAGACAGAAAAGACAATCTGTTCTGACAGAGGTCGGAACAACAGCTGCCAGGAACGATGCTAAAAACTCTAGCTGCACCACTCATTTAATTCTTACACCTAACCCATGAGGTACATCCTCATTTTAGGTATGGGAAAACTGGGGTTCAAAGAGGTTAAACCACTTGCCCAAAGTCATGCAGCCTAATTAAGTAAGTGAATTTAAAAAAAGA